AGCCCGCTGTTCCAGTCTCTTCTGCTGACAAAATATTGTTGTTCTGGCCTCGGAACTATAGAATGAAATTCTGTCCAGATCTGTTCATAATGGTTCTGAGATCATGGGGCATGACCCAGTCTCACTTTCAGGAAGACCTGCTAAGCAGTGGTGTCGAACTCATTTGTTACGACAAAAATACTACTTTGTCGGGCCGGGCCGTGTGTGCCATAAAATGTAATGCCAGGTACTGGAGATATCAACTGTATAAAGGATAGCAGCTGGAGAGCTCCGTGTGGGTGCAAGGCCCCACTGCAAGGCCCCTGTGGGCTGGGAGGAAGGGGGTGCAAAGGAATACCCACACGGGCGGACTGGAGAGCCCGCAGTGCAGCACTGGACAGATGTGCCCACACGGCTGGACGGCTGCAGACGAGGTTGTTCCGCCGTGTTGAAGCCACAGTGAGAGTGACTTTTGCTAAGCCTAACCCCTCAAACAGTCTCCTATTCCCTCCCTTGCCCTAGTTGCTCACGGATCTGGCCCCCGGGCCATATCACACCCCTGCACTAAGGTGCGGGGGGGGGGAGGAAACCTTGGAGGAAAGAATTTTTTTTAGTTACATGGTTTTAAGAGAATGTTTTACTGATTCAAAGTGTGTAGTATGAGGATATTCTACCTGTGTACACTGAACATATGAAACTGCCTCGCTATAAGTCAGACCAGTGGTCTAAGGTCATTCTTGTGTCCCCAGTCTGGTGTGTGTCTATGGCTCTCAGCCAGCCTACCTTACAGGGTTGGTCTCCCATGCTCTAAGGCAGGGTCTCCAGCAGGTAGATGGGGTGAAGGTGGTGGGGACCTTAGGGGGAAGTGACGATGTCCTCCTTGAATTCCGGTTGCTGTGGGGGGTCAAGGAAGTTCATAGTCAGACTTGTAGGTTAGATTTTTGTAGGGCCAACTTCAATAAACTCAGAGGATTGATGGGAAATATTCCGTGGGGGAGTGTGCTGAAAGGGAAAGGAGCGAGTGAAGGGTGGGCTCTTCTCAAACATGAGCTTTTGCGAGTTCAAGCCCTCACTATTCCAGCAAGATGGAAACATGGTAAGGGCTCCAAGAAACCGATGCGGATGAACCAAGAGCTTCAGAATAAGCTAAGGGAGAAATGTTCAGGAAATGGAGGGAAGGTCAGACCTCTAAAGAGGAGTATATGAGGGTTACTAGGTACCAAAGCTCAGTATGAGTTCGGTCTGGCCAGGGGGGCTACCTGCAATAAGAAAAACTTCTACAGATTTCGTAGCTCGAAATCACCCTCTGCTTCAAGCACGGCCTTGTTGCCCTCCGAGAAAGCTGAGGCGAACTTACTGTGCCAAGTTTCTCCTCCGCCCCTTCTGGCTGGGCAGGGGGGGGTTTCCGCATCACAGTGGGTGGAGGATCGCGGCGAGCTTGGCTGCATGTCGTCACCGCTCTGCCCAAATGTGAAGGCGTGAACACCGAGTCCAACACAACTTCCTGTTGGCTATCGTGTTGGGGTAGGCGGGACAGGGCGTCGGCCAGGGAGTTTGCTGAGCCAGGGAAGTGATGGAGGGTGAACTGGAATTTGGAAAAGAAATCTGCCCAGCGAAGCTGCTTGGCATTGAGACATTGAGGCGTTTTGAGCGTTTCTAAGTTCTTATGATCAGTCCACACCTCAAACAGGACCCATGCCGCCTCCAACCAGTGTCTCCAGGTGGATAGGACAAGTTTTATTGCCCCCGCCTCTTTCTCCCAAACAGACCAGTTCCGTTCAGTGTCATTAAAGTCATGAAACGTCCGTGACATGTATGCCAATGGATGAAGCGACCCGTCCCCTCCCTCTTGGAGGATGCCCCCCCCATGGCAACATCCGACGCATCATTTTGCACAATGAACTTTTTCGTTTCATCAGGGTGGGCAAGGACTGGCTCCGAAGTGAATAATGCTTTGAGGCGTTTGAAAGCCTCCTGACACTCCTTACTCCATGGCAATGCCGAGCCCGGCTTCGTAGCCTCCAGGCCTTTCCCCTTAGTTTTTAATAAGTCCATCAGGGGTAAGCTGACTTGGGCAAAATTGGGCAAAAAGTTTCGGTAAAAGTTCGCAAATCCGAAAAATGATTGGAGCTGGCATCAGGTGCAGGGTACCCCCCCACCCCAGCACGTCATGCACCTTGCCTGGATCCATCTCTAGACCCCTGTCAGAGATCCGATACCCCCAAAAGTCAATGTGTGTCTTTTGAAACTCGCATTTAGACAGCTTTGCAAACAGTTTGTGCTTGTGCAACGTGGCCAACACCTCCCTCACCAATTTCACGTGGGAGGGGAGGTCTGGGGAGTACAGCAAGATATCATCTAGGTAAACAAGGCCCCCCTTGAACAAGTGCTTGTGCAACACCTCGTTGATCAATCATGAAGACCCCTGGGGCCCCTTGAAGACCGAAAGGCATCACTCGATACTCAAACTGTCCGAGGGGGGTGTTGAAAGCAGTCTTATGTTCATCCCCCTCCTTGATGCGCACTCGGAAGTACGCATCCTGAAGATCCAACTTAGAAAAGATTTTCCCTTTTGCCGCTTCCGCTAGTAGGTCTTTGATCAATGGCATGGGGTATGCATTGGTTGAAGACACTGCATTTAAACCTCTGTAATCCATGCATAATCTCAACCCCCGTCCTTCTTCTTCCTAAACAAGACTGGAGCTGCAAACAGGGATGACGCCGGTCTGATGAAACCTCGGGCTAGGTTCTTGTCTATGAACTTGTGCAGTTCATCTTTTACTGCCGGGCCCATTGAATAGATGCGCCCCTTGGGTAGTTGTTGGCCAGGCAAGAGTTCAGTGCTACAGTCTGAGTGTCTATGAGGTGGGAGCTCACAGCCAACAACATAGTACATGCTTATCAGGAAAGATAATATTTTATTGAAGAGCTATAGATGCATTAACATAGGCACTGTTGAGAATGACGGCTGCCCATGGGGCATAATAGGATATAGGGTATTCGTATGCATCCCCCACTGCCCTGGCCAATGAGCCACCCTCCCACGCGCGGGAGAAAGAGCTTCGGCTCTTTAGCGCTGAAGCTGGGAACGAAACACTCTCTCACGGTTCCCAAGAAAACCAGAGATCAACATCGCCACCTGCAATACTTAGAGATAAGCGTTGTAGCAGCAAAGAAGCACAGAAGGACTGCAAAGGCAATTAGAAGACAACCAACCTCCCCACCCCCATGGCAGCATAGCTGACAGGCTGCCATATTCAGAGAGGGACATATTTAACAAGTCCCCGAGAGTCTTCGCCATGCGCCTAACTGACTGTCTCTGCTTCTCCAGGTCTGCCACCTTGGCCTCAAGGGAGCAAACTCATTCCCTGAGAACCAGGAGCCCCTTGCACCAGGCACACACCCAAGACTTCTGTCCATACATGTGACACTCCGTGCAAAACACTGGATAGTCCCCAACCCCCTGCTGGCATTCTGGCTTCATAATTGCTTTTAAAATAACAATTATATATAATCCCCCTTTTAAAACCCTTTGTATTTATGTGGTTCTCCTTCTAGAAGTCTACTTACCTTACTGGGAACACAAGGAGCCTAGGGCCCTGCCTTTCTGCCTCTTCCTGGGCTTTTTACAGAGTCCCTACGCTAAGAGTCCCTAGGCTTGTGCCTTTGGCAAGGTGCTGCCTTAAAAAGAAGCTTCCCCCAGCAGAGGTGTGGCCAGCAGTTATTCAGATTCACCCAGGCACTCAATTACAGTCAAACAATGACCCTTTCACACCCTATCTCAAGCAGCCAGGACTCTGCAACAACTCACCCACACACTCCCAAACACAGTCCCCCCCACACAGTACCCTCTCAGCTGAAAGTAAATAAAAACACTCACCCATCTAGCAGCTCTATCGCCTGCTCCTTTTTAGAGCTCAGCTGGGTCAGGTCTGCTTCTGGCAAGTCCTAAGCTTTTTGCAGTCCTAAGCACCCTTACTAGGAGTAGATCCAGAGGAGTTAGCCATGTTTGTCTGTTGCTGCAAAATAGTAAAACGCCCAGTAGCCCCTTTAAGACTAACAAACTTTATTGTAGCATAAGCTTTTGAGAAACAGGTCTGATGCATTTGTTTTAAGAAACACAACTCTGATGCATCTGACAAAGAGAGCCGTGTTTCTCGAAAGCTTATGCTACGATAAAGTTTGTTAGTCTTAAAGGTGCTGCTGGGCTTTTTACTATTTTACTAGGAGTAAACCCCATTGAGCACAGTGAGACTTACATCTGAGTAAACATGCTTATGATTGGATTCTACTTGGATGCTAAGAAGTGTTAGAGATTGCCAATATAGGCAACACTGTTGGGGATGCTTCAGTTTCTGTGTACCTGCTCAGTGAGGCTTCCTTTGTGCTTCCTTTTGGTTCTCTTTCTTTTTCCCAGAAGAAAGAGTGGGACTGGGATGAGACCAAGCTGCTGGTGATGCATGACCCAATCTACAGGTAAGAGCTTGCGAGCAAGGCAGAAGCCCTGGCTGATTTCCCAGAGATGGCCTGTCGGAGGAAGGACAGGGTGAACCAATAAGCGGATTGCACAGAGTAGGGGAGTTTTTGGTGGGCAAGGCAACTCCTGGGTTTCTTTTGTGCAAGAGAGGCTTTTGAAGGGGAATTGGATGAGGCAAATACAGTAGAGGAGGTGGTTCAACCACAGGAAGCTGCCTGAAAGAAAATGTAGAACGGTAATTTTACAGCTGGCTGTGGTTAACTCCCCCCCCCCCAATATTGGTGGCTCTCTTGTGTTTCGTTCTCTTATGTATCGGAAGCCTTGTTAGACCAAGAGCCATGGTAATATGGTTAAACAAATAAACATTCTCTCCAGTGGTGGAGAGAGGCATTTACAGTGCTCAGAGGACTAAATAACATTCTTTTTTAAAAAGTAAATGAAATGGCAAGTGTTCCACGTGTTGTTGCTGTTGTTGTTTTCAGCGCAATGCTGGGGAAGGTCAGATGTATCCTTGTACTGAGTCTTTGGATCATTGCAGGAAAGAATAAATTAAAAAATTAAAAACTGTTACGTGTTGCTGTTCAAAACAACCAGCAGGTGCTTGTAATATTCACCATTCATATTTTTACACAATGACTGATAAGTACACTCTTAACAAAGGAAATGTTTTGAGGTCAAAATATAATTAATCTGCTGCCAGGAGAACATCTGTCCCATTTACCTAAGAGGAGTCTTGGGGGACCGGGAGTGTCTGCGTGGGTGTAACGGGGTGTAATAGTGGCATAATTATTGATCGAAAGTGGTTAATACGGAGACGGTTCCAGAGGGTAGCCAGCATGTTGGTCTGTAGGAGAATAGCGAGATTCGAACCTTGAAGCACTTTAGAGACCCACAAGATTTTGGGGGTGTCTGGCTAAGGGAGCTTTGACTCTCAAAAACTCATACCCCCAAAACTTTGCTGGTCTCCAAGGCGCCACTCGGCCGGCTTTCAAGCCAGGGAAGAAGAAGCCTTTACCTTTTAAGGTGCGACTGGCCATGAGTCTAGCAGTTAATGTGGAAAATTCCTTAGCATGACTTCTGAACATGCAGTTCTGTAGCAGCCTGATTCATACGGAATCTGGTCTCCTTCTTGTCCTGCCAGATGCCCTACCTGCAAGAGTTACTCCAACAGAGCAGCACCCGTGACGTGAACCCTCTGTGGGCTTGACTTCATCCCAGTTCTTGGCAACACAGCGGGGGGAAACCCCTCCCTCATTCCCAGTAGCCCTGGTCACGTGTTACAGAGAATGCATGTGCACCCTGCCTATAGTTGCCTATATCTGTTTGTCAGAAGGAGCCAGTGTGCATTCGTCACTTGACGAATGTGGAACCAGGGACCAGTGCCTGCACAGTGTGCAGTTTCAAGCACATCTTCAGCTGTATAGGTGTTGAACACAACATGAGAATTATTCAGTACTTGTATAAAGAAATACATGTGATGAATCTAATATGAGGCTTAATCTATGCCTGTATAAAGGAAAACCAAGGGTACATAGACTGTGTACGCCTTCACTATAACAAGTTTAATTAATCAATTAAAAAAATAAATAAACTTGTGAACAGGGATACTCTTGCATGTTTTTGTTGTTCCCATAGAATATTCTATGTGTCCCACGATTCCCAGGATCTGAAGATCTTTAGCTACATTGCCAGAGACGGCTCAAGCAATGTCTTCCGCTGCAACGTCTTCAAGTCCAAGAAGAAAGTAAGCCGGCTGACTAAGAGATGACTCTAGGTCCTGCTGCCGCCTCCACAGCAAACTGAGCCGTCCGGTGGAGTTTTGCTCCTCTGCCTCTCAACTGGCAACCTGTGCCCATAGGGGGTAGTACTTCGGCCTAGTTTGCATGTGCCAGAGAACGAGGTGGCAGAGCCCTGATGCAGAAGCTTTAAAGTGCAGGTGCTGGGTTCCAGCTTAGAATGTTTCTTGTTTACGATACAAAGAAATACATTTATACATGCAATTAGAAAACAAGCACGTGAGAGGAAAGGTTTTCCTTCCTTCCTTCCTTCCTTCCTTCCTTCCTTCCTTCCTTCCTTCCTCCCTTCCTTCCTTCCTTCCTTCCTCCCTCCCATTCCTTCCTTCCTTCCTTCCAGCGAGTCTGTCCTAAGCAGGAACCTGGCACCCACAAGTCTAAAACTGTGCAGTCCATTGGTACCCCCTAAGCGTTTTGCAAGCCTCCTCCCCTGGATGTGTGAGCCAGGCCTTAGGTAGGGGTTGTGAGAAAGCTGTAGGAAGTGAAAGTTCTTCTTCCTTGTGGCTGTAGATGGAACCCATGGGTGTCCTTTGAAGCGCAGACAGTGTCCAGGGCAGGAGCAGAAGGCTGAGAGCCGCTCACCTGTAGGCAGGGTTCTGAGGACAGGGATTCCCAGGGTGTCCCTGCGTTTTGGAAGCAAACGTGATCACCTGAGCCCCAGCTCTAGCTGGCTTTGACTGCTGCAGGTCCTTCTCCCCAGGTCAGAAACGGGCTTCTGCCAGATAGTGTCCTCCTCCCATCTCCTCTGCGCTCCTGAAGTGTCCACTGCGGGTCTTCAGCCAGGTTGCCAGGAGTTGCCTCTGCTCTTCCACATGACTCAATTGGCAGACTCCAGTGCCATTTGCCGGTGAGGCCTGCCGGTCTCAGGGCCGTAGCAGCACGGGGCTCTCTTCCCCCGCCTTTGGGCGGTGAGAAAAAAGATCCCGGAAGCTCCCGTGAGACGTCCTTTCTCCTCCCTTCTCCTTCTGCAGAGTCAGGCCATGCGCATTGTCCGAACCGTGGGGCAAGCGTTTGAGGTCTGCCACAAGCTGAGCCTGCAGCACACCCACCAGAATGCGGACGGCCAGGAGGACGGCCAGAGCGAGAAGGGCAGCGAGGACGTGGCGGCACCAGGTACCTCGGGCGGGTGGGAGGTCCATGTCGGCAAGGGTTGTGGGGTTCGGGTGTTGGGCTAAAGGGCCTGAGAGACCCGGGCTGCATCCTCAGACACTTAGGGGAAGCAGCTCACAGGAGGCTCAAGTGAACACTCACGAAGCTGCCTTCTCCTGAGTTAGCCCCAAGAAGAAGAAGAAAGAAGAAGAAGAAAGGAGAGTTGGTTTTCATACCACAGTTTTCTCTACCTGAAGGAGTCTCAAAGCGGCTTACGCTCGCCTTTCCCGCCCTCTCCCCACAACAGACACCTTGTGAGGTAGGTGGGGCTCAGAGAGTTTAGAGAGAACTGTGACTGGGCCAAGGGCACCCAGCAGGCTCCATGTGCAGGAGTGAGGAATTAAACGCCGTTCCCCAGACCGGAGTCTGCTGCTCTTAGCCGCTGCGCCACGGTGGCTGTGGGTCCGTCAAAAGCGGGACTGTCTATTCAGACTGGCAGCTGCTCTCCAGGAGTTCTGTTAGAGGCCATTCACGTCACCTACGACCTGGTCCTTGTAGCTAGAGATGCCGGGGCTTGAACCCGGGACCTTCGACCCCGCAAAGCAGATGCTCTGCCACTGATCCACAGCCCCTCCTGCTCACTGCTGCTCTTTGCCACTGTACCTGAGGAAGTGAGCTCCGTCTCACAAAAGCACACAGCGGAGCAAACATTGCCAGTCTTTAGGGCCGCACTGGACTTCTCTTGGGACTTCCTGCCAAGGCCGTCCTGTTTGCATAAAGCTCTGTGAAAGGATGCTGAAGCCCAGGGGGAGGCGGAGGGAGGATTGACCCAGCTTTCCCCATTGGTAATGCCACTGAATCTCTTGCAGCCAGCAGTGTGCCGGAAGTGCCCCCTGTCAGTGCTGCGGAGGAGACGGACATTGACGCCGTGGATGTCGGGCTGCCCGGGAGCGACCATTTGGAGTTCAACAGGGGAGTGACAGACCTCGACGCTGTCGGCAGGGAGTCACCCACCCTGTCCTGCAACAAGGTATGCTTGCCCCTGTGCACACATCCAGAACTGAAGAAGGAAGTCCTCGGGGAGAATGAACAGGGGTTGGCCCCTTGCTGGCCACCTCTGAAATTCAGGAAGCTGGGGAGGGGGAAGTCCCTCACACACATCTGCTCCTGCACCCAAACCTGGATAACAGTACAGAGCAGAAGGCCCCAGGCAACCCAAGCAAATGACTGGAGTCGTCCAGAGGTCATTTGTCACCCTGGTTGATCTGATGAGGGGGAGTGTCAGGATCAACAGCAAGCAAATCCAAACACACACTCTTCAGGGAAAGTGATGCTTTATTGGAATACTGGCCTGTTGCCAAGTGCTACAGGTACATTGTTAGGAATAACAATTAGTGTAAGGGATTCGCTACATATATTCTGATGCTTCAACTAGCTAAGCAAATGAACTTCAAGCACTCGCTTTGGAATTCTCCCGGCGGGACATCGCATCATGAACTGGAGACTCTCTCCCCACCCCCTGAGAGCAGAAATATTCACACCGATAGTGGAACTCAAGCCCTCCCTTCTCGTCAAGATTACGCTGATAGCGCTGTCTGGCTGAGCCAGTTCTCACAGATGAAAGCGAGCCTCCCTTACGTTACCCACGGCAGCAAAGCCAACTCCAGGTAGAGGCTGCAGGTGGGGGGAGATGGAAAGCTGAACAGTGAGGGGGAAATGAAGGTACATTGATGCTTGGCTAGAGATGTAAAATTTCCGGAAATTTTGAAGCTCGGAAAAAAACCCGCTTTTTTTCGGGGGGAAACAGAAATTTTCGGAAAAAATGAAAAAAATGCTACATTAACATTTCTTTTGTCTTTTCTAGATTGAAAGTCATTCTGTTACTTTAGGAACATAAAATATGACTATGGACATTTTTACTTGGCATGAAATTATCACAACTAGCATATTAAAAATATAGTGTATCCAAACAATTATTACAAACAGAATACCCTCCCACATGCAAAAGCAAAACTGAAACTTTTTTATTTTCTTCTGACAATCGCACCTCCTAAAGGAAGAAATGCATCTTGTTCTTGCATTGGAGAGTTCTGTTTGTAACCTAGGACTTGCTTGTCCTCAGTGCACAGAAATTAGATCAATCTGATACCATATATATATATATATATTAGAAATTGTTTTAAAATATTTTATTCGTCATGTTAAAATAAAACATTCCATAATCATTTTTTTTCCTTTTCTTTTTTCAATTTTTCCAATTTTTCGGAAAAAAACAAAAAAGGCTTCAGGAAAAAAACGGGGGAAAAATGGTTTTTTTCCGAATTTTTCCGGTTTTTTTCCGGGCCTTCACATCTCTACCTGGACCTCACAGGATGGTGTAGATATCTGAACAGCAGTTGCAAACAAAACCTGTCCACAATGCACACAAACAGCAGTTTCTGACAACACGTGTAAAAGATATCTCCTTACCTGTTTTCGGATTGATGATGAAGAAATTCTGGGGATTTCCACTGGTAATCCGATAGCTCATCTTCTCATTTGTGCTGGCGTCGGGATCCTGAGCCTGGTTGAACCGTTCCCCTGGAGAAAATGGTGGACTCTGTGTCCTTATACCCTGCTTAGGTTGCCATGGCAAATTGATTCTGAGTGCCCACGGCCTTGGCACTCTCCCAGAGCCTCTTTCTAGCGCTCATTGTATTTATTTCCACAATGGGCCTTATTCCTAGTATATTACAATTTCAGCTAACGGCACTTAATACCCTCTGACACAGACCTAGTCAAACCTAAAACACATGTCTAAAACAGTGTCACAGATTAGTTTTGTAACACTCTCTTGGTTCTTTTAAAAATCCTTTTGCTCTACCTTTTTCTTTTTATCTAAGGGCCCCAATGCTTCCTGAGCTTGTTTCTTTCTTCTAGTGTCTTAAAGGAAATTTGCCTCTCATGTTTTTTATTATGCAGATGCTTGTAGTTGGCCTACAGATAGGGTGGGAAAAGTTCCAGATACATATGTACATACATATATATTGTGTTGAAAACTGCCATCTTGTCACAGCTGACTTGTGGTCACTCCGTAGGCAAGAAATGAACAGAGGCAGTTTGACATTGCCTGCCTCATATCTCTCTCTGTGTGTGTACACATATCACACACACTTCAATACACCTGTTCACTTCCTTAAAAGCAGTGGTCGTATAATCAAGAGCGACAAAATCCACGTCCACATGAGAGTAACAGAAGCTTATAAGAATGGTAACCAGCTACTCAGAAAAAGAATCCTGTGGAGAGCCATTGTTCTCCCTCGTTCACTTGAAGAACTTTATCTTATCCGTTGTCATCTCTAGGAAGCCAGGAGAAGATGGCCACAGCCTGAATGGGAGCTGGGTTTTTTTTGGGGGGGGGCACTTTGTCTTGGGGGAGAGGGATTTCAGAATCTCCGCAGGTGAGATTAGTTCAGATCCACCTAATTATGGATCGGAGTCATTTGGGTCATTTGGCATCAAGCAGGCCAACTCTTCCTTCTGTGCCCTGATCTCCCTGGTAACTTACGCTGTGGCTTCCTTTTGGTATGTGTGTGGGGGGGGGGAGAGAAACACAGGCTTGCTTGCAGTTCATCCCCACACTCCCTGCTTTCTACTACTCTACTCTGGTAGCTCCTCCTAAGTACGTGTCTGTGCACTGGGAAGAAAGTGGTTGGTATTGAGAGGGTTCGTTTTCAGGGGTCGGGAGGCAGGAGGAGGTGGGTGGGTGGTTGGGTGATGAAGGCCCCTCGCCATCTCAGCATCTGCTTGTATTTTCCAGGGCTTGCTTCATCCAGAGGACATCCTGCTGGCTTCTCCCAAGATGCTGCTCCCTTCCTCTTCACAGTTACCTGAGCCAGGTGTCCCTCTGTCAGCTCACCACCAAATGCAGTTTCTGCAGCAGCTCTTGCAACAGCAGCAGCAGCAAACCGAAGTAGCTGTGGCTCAGGTTACTATTCACACCTTGAGACCGCAGGGGAGAGTACAGAGAAACCCCCCTGCCGATCCGCTGATCAGAATGGGGAGACAAAATGTCACAGTCTGAACTAGTGGGTCAGATTGGACAGGATGGAGATTGGGGGTCTCGGTTCAGTTTATGACCCGCCCATGGTAAACCTTCCACCGCCACTCCAGGTTTGGTCACCAAAACCACGGGGTCTTGCACCGTGTCAGCACCTGAACAGAAAACTTTCTGTTTCCAGTGATCTGTGCTGGATATGTGTTTGAGTATTGACTGGTTTTGTTCTGTTGAGGTTCTTCCTCCTACTACTACTCATTATTATTATTATTTATTTGATTCATACCCTACCCTATCCCACGAGTGGGCTCAGGGCAGCTGACAACATAAAATCCCCAAAACAATAAAACCTATAAAACAGTAGATGGCGCAATATACAACAACAGAAAAACCTGTGCCTCATGTCAGGGGGATATAGGTACCCCAGGAAGCTCTGTTGCCCAGATAGTCTTAGATTCCCCCTGTCTTTCTGCTTAGCCAAGGGGTCCCCTTACATCTGTTTTTGTGACTTCTGTTCCTTGACTGCATGTTCTGCTGTTGCTGGGGGGTTTTTTTTTGGGGGGGTGTAGTTCATTACAATGGTTTTTGGTTGCTTTGTTCTGATTTGTGGATATTGAATGTTTTGAGCGGATGCTGCCGTTGGGAGCTCCTCCAAAGAGCACAAGGTTGGCTTCAAGTAGAACCCTTCCCCCACCACTGCTGCCGCTACTGCCCTTGAGCAGTCTGGCCTGGATGGCAGGTTGCCAGCTGAAAGATAGATTTGCCTTCCCACAGAGACGTGTCTGGTGGTGTCCCATGCAAGCCTGTGGCATTGAGAGGCGGGTCTCTCTTACCGCCACCACGCGACCTCCAAACCATCAGCCACCTTCTGTGTCTGTCCCGCAGGTGCACTTGCTGAAGGACCAGCTGTCGACAGAGGCTGCTGCCCGCCTTGAAGCCCAGGCCCGGGTGCACCAACTCCTGTTGCAAAACAAGGACCTCCTCCAGCACATTTCCCTTTTAGTGAAGCAGGTGCAGGAACTGGAGGCAAAGCTGTCGGGACCCCAGACCAGTAAGAGCTTCCCTCTCTGCCTCTGCCCCTCTGGTAGTGCTCCCGTTCTGCCGCTTCTTGTTTTGTATCCTAAAACTTCATTTGACGCCTGCTTCTCAGGCTTGGTGTTCACCCTCCCCATGGGTATGGTAGGACATCATTAGGAGGGCGGGGCCTCCGCTCAGGGGTGGAGTTTCAGGTAGGAATCCGTGTTAGTCTGTTGTTTTTGTTGTTGTTTTTGCCATCAAGTTGCAGCCGCGTTATGGTGTCCCCGCAGGCTTTCCAAGGCAAGAGACGTCCAGAGGCAGTTTTTGCCATGGCCTGCCTCTGTGTAGCAACCTTGGCATTCCTTTGTAGTCTCCCATCCGCCTACTGAGCAGGGCTGAACCCACCTAGCTTCTGGGGTCTGATGAAATCGGGTAGCCTGGGCTCTCCAGGTCAGGTCTGGTCTGGTCTTGTCTGTTGTAGTAGAACAAAATTTGTGTCCAGCAGCACCTTAAAAGATCAGGTTTTTCCCAGGGCATAAAAGCTTTCCTGAGGCCAAGCTTATTTCCTCAGATATGTCAGTGGTGGAATGTGGGAGGTTTCTGTTTCAGTTCCCAGCATCTCCAGGCAAAGGAGAGTCTTTGGTGCTTTTGTGCATTCATACTTGTCATTTTATGGAGAGGTGAATGAAAGAGGTCCTGAGCGGGATGGCCCAGGCCGACCTGATTTCCTCCGATCTCGGAAGCTGCACGGGGTCAACCACCCTGGTGACTGCTTGGACAGGAGACCACCCAGGGAGTCCAGGGTCGTGCGGCAAAGGCCGTGGCCAAGCCCACCTCTGTTCGTCTCTAGCCTTGAAAACCCTGCAGGGTCACCGTAAGGCGGCTGCGACTTGAAGACACTTTCCCACCACTCGCAACGGAAGGAGGGAGTATGCGGCTCTCATTTCTGGCTCAGCTGAGCCCTTTTCCATTTCAAAGAGACATGTATGAAAACTACCTTCAGAAAAGGCCACTAATCTTACCAGACATCTACTTCTTTCTTGGAAATTCTTAGAAATGTTTTGCCTGAGCAGAACCATTCATACCATTAGCAAAATTGTGCATGGCAATTCAGAGATGTGCAGAAGGTCGTGCTAACCCAAGAAATTCTGCTAAAATTATTTCTGGGGGGGGAAAATTCACTTTCCAAAAAAATCCTTGCTGCCTGAGTAGGAGTCGTAGAACTCAGTGGCAGTCATCATCCTAACCGGCTTGGTTCTGTCCCCCCAAAGCATCTCCAGGGGCAGCTCCTGGATCTTTTGACCTTATTAAATCGATGCCCCCATAGAAGTAAGAGTGAGAGTTTCACGGCTGGGAGAATGAGCACTAGGCTGGGGGACCAAAATTCTCAGGCAAGCCCTCTTGACTTGGAGTCTCTTACAAATATTCGAATATATGGCGCAGTGACAGCATAGATGGTCAACGTCCTCTGCTGTGCCAGACTGAGAGAGACACCATGAGGGTGTATCACTGAAAACACAGCCGTGTGGAAATTGAAGACATCTGTTTTGGTTGAGTTTTGAACACGTGAAGCTGCCTGCTACTGGATCAAACCATGAGTCCATCAAAGTCAGTATTGTCTACTCTGACTGGCAGCAGGCAGAGGAAGGTCTTTCATATCACCTGCTGCTTGGCCCTGGAGATGCTGGGGGTTAAACATGGGACCTTCCATGTGCCAAGTAGATGCTCACCTACTGGGCCACAGCCGCACCGAGGTGCTCCCCTCCCTAAGTTAGGGTACTGGGTGGTGCGTACATGTCCCCTCTGGCATCCACTGCTTTCTGGGCCCAGTCTTCTAACGTCTTTAAAAATATTTTCTTTTCCATGAAGTCACGCGGACGTGTGGCGACCCCTAGTGGGGCTTGAAGGCAAGAGGGACGTCCAGAGGTGGCTTCTCACCACCGGCCTCTGCGTCCCGGCCCGGGTACTCCTTGGAGGCCTCCCATCCAAACGCCAGCCAGGGCTGGCCCCGCTGAGCCTCCGTGATCTGACGGGATCGGGCTGGCCTGGGCCGGCCTGGATCAGGGCTCAGTCTTCTAACTTCAAGGGGAAGTGGAAAGTTTATTTTTTTATTTATTCCATCTCCAATGTGAAAGCCTTGCTTCTACTCATCAAAAACATTATTTTAAAATTAATCTTGAATGTGATAAAATACAATATAAAAATATAATCAATTCACAAGTCACATGTAAAAGTTATTATGAATGAATGAAAATACATGGCAGTTCTACTCTGCCTGCATTAAGTCTAAAAATGAATCCGAAGTCTCTTACCAAAAGCATGAGTAGAAAAGGTATGCTCACTGAATTCAGATCTGAGAGGTTCATACATCACATAGTGCTGAGAAGTTATAGAGTGTGGATGCCTGGAAAAAGCTGTGTTTCTTCAGAACTGTCTATTTCATGATGTTCCTCTGAGCCCAGAGGTGATACTTTTTGCAAAACTGCGCAAGCTAAGTAAGTCTAAGTTGCCAGTTGCAGAATCAGTGTTTGTTTCCTGGGATTTATCATAGCAAACCAACAGCTATGCAGGAAGAAGTTATTTCAGCTGTTGTTCGAACTTGTTCACACCAGCGGCAGAAAACTTCCCAAGGACACCAACTGTGCATTAGAACAGTGAGAAAGAAAAATGCCTATTTGGAGTTGTTCCAGGAAGTAATTAGCAGATTCAGTGAGCCTTAACTGATTCAGTTTGGCTTATGCTTACTAACGATACCAGGCCTGCAAGAATAAATACGTGCAACATGCAGGGCATGCATCATTTATATTAGATTCCACGACAATGTGTTCTCATTGAAAAAAGAAATGGCCAAGAAAAGCCTCTTCCAGGGAACTGAACATGTTGCAACTGCATGAGAGTCTGTCGTGGCACTGCTCACCCCCGCACAACACCCTCATGTTAGCCATTGTTAGGAGCGGTCCATCAATGCCCGAGTGTGCCTCGCTGGCATCAGTCTGCCCCCTCCCTCCCTCCCTCCTTCCCTCCGACCTACAGGTCTTGAATCGTATCAATCAATCCCAACTAGGTATAAGTGAAAGAAAAGAAGAATTCAAGCCAGAGAGGGCAGGCTGTGCCATATTAGAGAAAATGTCACAGGCTGCATGTACTCTCATGGCCTAAACAAGGAATTTAGCTAACAAAACAATATTGTAAAGAAAATAATATTAGCTAACAAAAGCATCCATTAAAAATGTAGTAACTAGAATATCTAGGGGAAGATTATTTCCCTGTCACATAAGGGGTTTGATCCATTCCTCTCTGGCATCCATGGGCATTCAAATAGAATGATCCCTGAGCCACAACCACAATATTGATCTGAAAACAGTATACCTAATATATGACCTTACAGGATCATGGATGGTAGTGCATTTAATCTTGCAGGCATAGTTTGCTTACCTGTATCGCGGAGTTGTGAGGCTAAACAAGTATTTGGGCATTGTAAAGATCAGTGGGATCCCTGTATGAAGAGAAGAGCAAATGTACCTAGCCCAGCAGATGGTACGATTGAGGCCAGCCTTCATCACTGACTGCTTGTGAGTCTCAGGGGCAGGGGGCCATCCTAGAAGCCACCAGCCGAGGGCGAATTGGCTAAGCACACATCGTGAGAAAACACCACAGGTATCTGGGGACAGCCTACAGGCAGATGCCATAATGCAGAGCTCTAGTAAAATGAAAGAACAGGCGGTTGCTAGCAAGGTTGTCTAAGCATCCCTCTCCCTGGGGTGGGGCTCAAGGCCAACACGAGGGAAGAGGAGCAGTTGTATCTAATTTCCTGAATTACGCCTCACTGTAGAATTTGTTCTGCTTCTGCTGGATGGTTGTCATCTTTGAGCATTTCTCAGCCTAAGACTGTAAGGAATGCATGAGCTCCCCCCCCCCCCCAGCATGGTGGCATCAGGAGCACCTGGAAGAGATTGGCGCAGCCGAAACATTATTGAGAAGACCTAGGCTAGTGTCCTTTGATCGGAAGGGAGCAGTGCTCGCCTTGCCCTGGACAGCCCAGGCGGGCCCGATCTCGGAAGCCGAGCAGGGCCGACTCTGGCAAGGACTTGGAGGGGAGACCTCCTTGGAAGACCGGCAGTGGGGAGGGCGGGGGCAGGCCTCATTCAGCCACCTCCCTGAACGTCCTTCCAGGCCCCCAGTTAGGGGTCAGGCACCAGAGGGCGCCGTGACTTCCAGGTGCACACACTCTCTAACACACACACACACACACAACACGCACATATGAAAAATACAAAATACAAAAAAGAGAGCTCAAAATATAAAAAATAGAGAGAGAGAGAGCTCAAGTTGGGGGGGGGGCTCTTGGATTGGCAGACAAGGTCAGAGAGGTACGATCTGACACCTCTTTTTCTCCCCCCCCCGCCCCCCTCTTTTGCAGTGGGCTCTCAGGACAGTTTGCTGGAGATCACCTTCCGAGCGGGCGCCCTGCCCGTGCCCTGTGACCCCACCACCCCGATGCCTGCGGACACCCACCTGCTCCAGCTGGACCACAGCTTCCCCGGCACGGCCACCTCCCTGAGCAGCAGCCCTCTAGGTAGGAGCGACTACGTGGCCAAGTTGGAGTGCTTCCGCTTCCTCCCCGGCACCCCCCCGCCCCTGGGCAGCCTGGAGCTCATCAGGTTCCGAGAGTCCGGGATCGCCTCCGAGTACGAGTCCAACACGGACGAGAGCGAGGACTGGGACTCGTGGGCCCAGGAGGAGCCGCTCCGACTGCTCGGTGTCTTGCACAAGCAGGGGCTGGGGGACAGCCTGGATGATGAGGTTGCCGTGTAAGGAGGAGGAGGAGGAGGAGCAGCGGAGACAGCTCAGGCCTGTGGCAGGCGCCGGCTGAGCCCCCCGGGGTCCGGGTCTTCTTGCAGACGGGCCTGGGCCAGCCCGCGCCTCGTGTTGGGGGCAGCCTCAGAGTTGTGCGGGATGCCTCTGGGGACAGACTTCCCCGGAGAGGAAGGGCTGTCGGCGGGCAAGTGCCACTTCCTCCCTCGACTTCGGCCTGCGGGGAGCTCAGAGCGGGTATCAGAGGAACCACTTTCCTTTCAGGTGGAAATAGCCATATGCCCTCAGGGGAGTCCTAAGAACTCAGGGCTGTGTATGTTTTGTGACTCCGCCCGACACCAAACGCAGCGTTGGGCATCCGGTTCAAGGTTCAGCATGGTGAGAATCGCAGCTATCCTGTTTTTTTACAGGCGCACCCATTTCTAGCCCGAAAGGCTGCTAAGATGGTCTTGGAAGGGCACAGACAGGGGCTGGTGAGATCTCGAAAACTGGAGGTGGGGAAAAGAAGGGGCTTCCAGCGCAGGCCTTGGCCCCTCACACAGAATTCAGAGGCAGAGTTTGTTTGGTGTGCAGGAGGAGGTGTGTTCCGAGGGCTACCGTTGGCTCCTTTGAGGACAGAGGGAGGTCGAGCGAAGGGGCAAGGGGGGGGCGGAGGAGGAGGAGGAGAACAGGCGTGTGACGTCTGAGCAGCCCTAGAGTCTCGGCAGGGAGTTTCCGGCACCAGAGGGGCCCCTCCCCTTGGTTAGAACTGCCCCCCCCCCCCCCCCCCCCTTTTCACTTTAATGGTGGTCTGAGCTTCCAGGAGCCATTTTGCCAGCGTGTGCTCCGGGAAGTCTCTTCCTTTCTCGTCTCACTCTTGAGTCCCGCTTCAGTCCCTGAGGCCACAGTCCCGGTTCCGGAGGAGCCGCTGTGTTCGCGTGCAGTGACCCCGCGGCCCCTTAAAGACGGCTTCATTTGACGGAGTGGCGCACTCGGCTTCCAGGCTGCCTCCCATAACTGCGTGCCTCTGTGTGTGTGCCGCGGCCGTCCTTGTTCCAGGCTCCTCCCCAGGGCCCCTCCCACACGCGTCCACAGAGGCAGGCAACATTTCCCCCCCTGCGGCTGAGACTGTGTCTGAATGATGCACCACTCATGGCCCAGGTCTGTCTGCCCGAGGCCAGTGCCTTCCCTTCCAGCCGTGCGTTGACCGCCCAGGAACGACTCCATTCACATGGCCGCCCGCGTCACACACACAGTTGCGTGCCGTTGCAGGGAAGACGCGGCTGACGGAGCAGGCGGCTGCCTCCCAAAGGGCTGGCCTCCCATCGGCAAGGTCTCTCTTCTCCCCTCTCTCCTCGCTCCCTCTCCTGTTCCTTCCTTCCTTTCCAAGGGGAGGTGGGCATCATCGGTGGCGAGTCTAGGATTTGTCTTGCCACGAAGGCTTCTTTTCCCACAAGCTTGTGGGGTGCTGCTTGCTTCAGCCACCCAGTCCCCGGGACAGCTTCTTACATAATCCTGGTGTGACGTGAACCAAACTAGCCCTCACTCAGGCAAGGTTTTCAGAGAGTTTTCAGAATGTCCACTTGCCTGCGTGATGATGCCGCACCGTGATTGGCAGCCAGACAGCAAAAGCACCCTGCTCCCCCCCCCACCATCGCCAGCCCCATAGGTAGAGCAAGAGGGGTGTAGGGGACGCTGCCCCACTGTGTAAATACTTCCTCCTTTCTTGAGTGAAACCGTAATCCCAGTTTTGCTCTGTTTGACCTGTCCTTAGAAACGTCTTGCCCAGTTCTGCTCTTATTGTTGTGGACGTCACCACTCTGTGGTCTAGTGGTCTAGAGTGTCGGGCGAGGATCCAGGAGACCTGGGCTCAGACGCTACTCCACCATGAAGCCCATCGGGTGGCCGTAGACCAATCCCTTACTGTCAGCTTGGCCTGCTTCACAAGGCTGTCGTGAGGCTATGAGGAGGGGAGAAGAGAGAAGAAGAGACTGGATTTATACCCCGCCCTTTACTACCTGAAGGAGTCTCAGAACGGCTTAGAATCTCCTTTCCCTTCCCCTCCCCACAACAGACACCCTGTGAGGTAGGTGGGGCTGAGAGAGCTCTTTCCAGGACTGCCCTTGAGAGAACAGCTCTGAGAGAACTTGTGACTGACCCAAGGTCACCCAAACAGCTGCATGTGGAGGAGTGGGGTTCTCCCAGATTAGAGCCCGCGCCCCTGACCACTACACCAAACTGGCTCTCTAACCACTACACCAAACCACGTATGCCAACCTGTGCTCCCTGGAGAAAGGGCAGGATAAAAATGCACTAGTTAGATGGATTTGCCGCTCCTCTATTCAAAGATGGGTGGTTTTCTGATCCTCCAAAGACCTAAAGGCAGATCTGCAGCAAACACTTGCCAGGGCATTCTCATGCAGACACTGATTATGGGATGTATGGCAGGACTCGCCTGCAGTGGTGTCCATGGCCTTGTGTGGGGGGTGGCGTTTGGCAGCATTGTTTCTTATGTTCTAAGCTGGTCGGCCATGTGGTTCTTTCTGATGAAGCTAATTCTTTTCTTCTTCTTACTCTTCTTCTGTGAATTTTGCGCACTGGTGTGAGTGAAAAGCAGTTCTCGCTGGTTGGAGCTGGGAGATGACTGAGCGGCTGCTGCCTCCACCAGCGGCAGCCTTTGAACCCGAGTTCCCGCGAGAGTCCGTGGCCCTCGGATTGTATCTCTTGTATGTTTACGTGGCAGGTGGCTGAATTCCTTAACACCTCTTAGGTTTTTCCCATTCCCTTCTTCTGTTCTTTCCTTTACTAGAATGGTTGTCACAGAAAGCCATGAGGTGGAAGCTGAGGGAGATAAGGCCTGACTTTTTTTAAAAAAAAATGCTCTATGGGCACCCCCACCCCTCCCCCCCCCCCCCCCGGGCAGTGTCTGCCGTGCAGCAGGCCGGCTACAACCAAAGGAAGCCAGGCCCATTGTTCACTGCTCAGCAGGACTGACTGGGACACAACTCAGGGAGACGGTGCCTTTGGGGCAGACTGGGAGGAGGGGGCTTCTCTCCCCACCGTGGTCTCTCTGCTGCCCAGGGAAGGGGGCCTCGGACGGGAGCAGCGACAGGGTGGCTCTAGACTTCGTGGCAAGTGGCTAAAAAGTGGTGCAAGGACCGCTCGCTGCCACTCCCGGTGCGTCAGGCCAGCTCTGGGAATGTACGGCTGGGGCCTTGGTGAGCACCAGAGTGACAAGAAGGATGTGGGGCTAGTGTGTCTGGAGGGGGGAGAGGCCCACGCAGGCCAAATAGTCCCCAAAAGGCCTGAGGTGTGGAGAAAAGCCAGAGGCTTAGCAGGGCAAGGCGCACAAGAGACACGGGCAGGGAGTGGCCGGCCCCGCCCACAGGGCTGTCGGCAGGTGCCTCAGGCAAAAGAAGGTCTGATGGGTGGGGGGGGCGGGGAGAAGTCAGCCGCTCAGCTCGGCAAACGTCCAGAGTTCCCGCGGATCAGGGCAGGCTGCTGCTTTGAGCGGGATGACGACTTGACAGCAGCCCTGGCCGCAGGTTAGCAACAAACGCGCATGCAGCCTGCATACAGTGCGCACACGGTTTCTGTTTGCACGCACAGTGCACAAGTTCTTACATTCAATGCACGTATGGCTGAATGCATGGTTCCCAGTTCTATTTTGAAAGTAAACGTGCTTTGGCTCTGTCTTACACACAGAGGCACGCACAGACATGGAAGGATATTTGCGCATTTGCTGTAATCGGTGGGCTAGTTGCTCACCTGGTGTCTCTCGCATAGACGGGATCCTGCAGCAGCAGCAGCGGTCGACCTGTCAGTTTGAGCCTGAGTCCTTCGGAAAGGTTTTGACTCTCACCTTGTCTGGTATTCCTGCATAGTTCTGCTTCAGACTCTTTCTTCACAAAGCCCCCCTGGAGGTCTCTGTATTTTGTTCTTTCTCAGACTACCACACTTGCTGTTACAGAACAACTTTCTGTGTAAGTGCACTTAAGCCCCAGGGCGGTGGTGTTTGCTTCTTGGCTTTTGCTAAATAAATCTTACTTATTTCTTAAGCTTCTCTGTTGTTTCTGCTTTCTTTGCTTTCCTCTGTTTATCTCCCCCAGACTTCCTCTTTCTTACCTTCACTCACTCTGACCCTAAGAAAGACATCCAGTTTACTCGGTCCCTCACAAACGGGGGGTTGGGTGTGCTCTATTGAGATAGAACAGGAGAGCCCGCTTCACGTCCAAGGTGTGTAATAATCTGTCCTCCGCTGATGTTGGATTTGGGAAGAAGTCAGGGAGGAAGACCTCCGCCTGCAGGTGGAACTCTGACATCACCTTCATTAGGAAGGAGATGTCTGGGATGAGGTGGACTCCGTCTGGCAGAAATGACAGGTAAGGTGTATCGTGTCGGAAAGCCAATATTTCTCCAACTCGCCTTGCCGATGTGATAGCAATTAAAAAGGCCGTTTTCCATGCGAGGAGTTTAAGGTCACATGTAGCAAGGGGCTCAAAGGGCTTCCTCGTGAGCTGGCGTAGCACTAGAGGAAGGTCCCAGGGAGCGACTGGAGTTTTAACAGGAGGATAGAGGTGTAACAAACCTTTTAAAAATCATTTGGAAATCGGATGTGAAAACAAAGTGCATCTGTCAACTGGAACATGGTTGGCCGAGAGAGCGGCCAAATAAACTCTTAATGATGAATGGGAAAGTCCCGAGTCAGCTAAGGAGGGGAGGAATCGGAAAACTCTTTCGAGACCCACTGAGGTGGCTCGAGGGGTGTCATCACCAAGAGAAGAACAGAACCTTCGCCATTTATAATCGTAAGACCTCCGCGTAGTAGGCTTCCTGGAATTCAAGAGGACGTTCACTACGCGGGAGGAGAAGCCGATGATGTTATCTGCCATGCCGTCAGTTTCAATTGCGGTATGTGGTGATGTAAGATGGGGGAGTCAGAGAGAAGGAGGAGGTCCTGAGCCGGAGGGAAATGTTGGTATATCCCCTGTGATAACTCCAGGACCGTGGAAAACCAAGGTTGTCTCGGCCACCATGGGGTTATTAAGATACAGTCCATGGCATCTTTGAGAATTTTGCG